TAGTTAATCAAACTCTTATATAAGTGTGAAGAGTCCAATTTGGTACCTCAATATTTGGATGTTAGTATGATACCATCCAAGATAATCTTACAAGTTCAACAATGAGTAACAACTTATAATATTCTGAATATTCAAAGGGGTTGTGGTCCAATTAATTAATTAAAATATAAAGGTAAAAAAAAATTGTTAAAAGCGATAGACGTGCAATTCTCTATAAATATCAATACGTATTTTTTTTTTTTGAAATAAACAACCTCTCACATAAAACAAGAAAGAAATAGAGGTATTGAATATGATCATATGAATTCTCATACAATGCCCATCTTGTCTAGTATGATTTTTGTCCTTTTTACTATGAAAAATTGCATTGCCCTTTTATTTCCACATCTATCTTCTAATTATCATCAAACGGCCTCTTCTCTCTACCTATTTCTGATTCCAATATAATTGATGATAGTTTTGTACCAAAAGCTATTATAGCAAATATTAAAGAGTGTAGAGCAAGAGCCTTTAAAGTATGCGAGGAGGATAGGGAACATAATATTAGAACAACATGAAGGCCATAGACATGACTTGTTTGAAGGTTGTCTTATTAGAGTTTTTGTACAATGCATGGAGGAGCTCCAACCGCCACCGGGGCCGATCTTGGTACAGATTAGCGATGTACGAAGCCACACCCGTCTCCGCACCGATGACATCCCTATTAGAGACCAATTGTAGAGACTTTATTTTGGGAGATTCAATAGTGGAGAAAGTATGAAGCTCCATTTCAATCAATAAGATCTAAATCAGACGGTACAGATAATATGAGGCTGGACATTATGAGAAAGATCTTTTAGACAGCACTGTTACACTTATTTTTATAAATATGGTCTAAATTGAATCATACTATTAAAGTCAATGGTCCTATTAAATGGGAATGTTCTCACTGTAGAATCTCCCTTTTATTTTTATTTTCTCTTGTGACATTTTACTTTACTCCTCCATGAGGATTTTGAATTAGGCATCACTGTTACAGTTATTTTTCAAGTATCATCTGAATTAAATCATAATGCTAAGGTCAATGGTCTTATCAATGGGCGCACCAAACGTACAATATCCATCATCAGGGCTGGGGAGGGAAGAGGGCTCAATGGGAGTGGCTGAGTTTTTTTTTTTTTTTTTTTTTTTTTTTTTTTTTTTTTTTTGTTGTTTTTTTTTTTTTTTTTTTTGGAGTTGTTTTTGTGGAATTGAATCTGGTGATTTTATTGATTAGTATGGTTTCAGCGTTTTTGAATCTGGTAATATTTTTGGAATTGGAATCTGAGATTTGTTGAACAGAGAGGAAATTTGTTGCATGGAGAGAAACGAAAGAGATGTTTTTTTAGATGATTTTTTTTAATTTTTAATACTTTTAAAGCATTTTTTAAAATATGTTTTAAAAATTTTAATTTCCGTTTGATTTTACGTCCTAAAAAAGCGCCTAAGGTACTAAAAAACGATTTCTTAAAACGTCAGGGTGCCAATTTACAATTGCTAAAAACACAACGTATTAAAAAATGATTATACTAAAACACACTATAGCATATGAAATTCTCTATTTTTGTTTTCCCTTGGACATTATACTTAACTCCTATATGAAAGGATTTATCCAACCTCTTTAGAGTTTTTAAATCGGTGAAATGAATGAGATCTGAGTGTATTTGATGACCTAACCTTGTTAATGCCGGTTTTCTGTGCATCGTACCTTAAGTTTCATATCATGCACGTTATTGGAAGACTTCTATCATGAAATCGCCATGTTCGTAATTGTGAACTAAACTACATAAAATATGAATATCTTAAAATTTGGATCATAAGTCAGAAAATATAATGTTTAGCAACTCAAGTCAAGAAAATTTTGATCGCTAATATCTGCAGAGACTTATTTTTAAAAATTTTCAATCATACAAGAAGTATTGACTTGTAATTAAATTGATATTTCAAAGTTAAAACTCCAAATAAATAAATAAAAAATCAACTATACTACTATGTAAATTTATAATTTCTGGGACAGTAAACTTTTAAAAATGAATTTTAACTTGGTTACAAGCTTAGTTCATTTTGAAGGGGGAAAAAAAAGAACAAATGAATACGGGTAAAAACATAGACAAAACTTAGAGAAAATTTAGTTGCATTTATGGCCCCTGAAAAAATAAAAACGATAAAAATTTTGGCTCCACGACTTTGAATTTTTCGATACTGAATGTAGTTACAAAGTACAAAAAATTGGAACTAATATATCTCATTAAGCACCATCTAAAACAGAATTCCTTCACCATTTATTTTTTATTTTTGAAATTAAGGATCGGGAGATTTGAACTCTACACACTTTGTGGTACAGTCCGATGTGAAATTACCATTAGACTATACCTGCAACCACCTTCACCATTTCCTTGAATAAAAAACTCGAATTAACTTGAATTTTACATGGTACGGTACAAAAGATACCCTATAGAGGAAGTGAATCCATCAGCAATTCTGCATTAAATTTGCATTCCAAAAGAATGTAATATTTTGAGATGCGTAATAGTTGTATGTAGAAAATAAACCTGCAAAAACACAACATATGGATTACATTCAAATGAGTAGGCAAAAGAAATAGGACTTCGAAAAATCTCCTTAAAAGTGCAATTTAGGCAGTTGAATTCAAGTGTAGACCGTCATCAAAATCCCCCGAGAGCTACAAATTTGTCGCATTTTGTTGGCCGTGTCATTACCAAGGTTGTCAAAAATTTAGGGGAGCTCAAGCAACAAAAACGTTTTTATCTAGGATAAAATGTCACGGCTTTTTGCATAGCCCCATTAGTTATAGAAAATATAGAAAATACTACGTAACCCAATAAAGCTAAAGCATGACTTGAATTGGCAAACATTAATTGAACAAAAATAGTAAGAAATAGGCCAATATAAAAAACTTAAGAAAGTATATAGGCCCATTTTTAGTTATAAAAATTAATATGCTATAACTTGTCAAGTTATGATTCATAACCAGATAAGTTATGAATAAACTTGTCAAGTTATGGTTCATAGCCAGACAAGTTATAGACAAAAATCATGAATTATGGACAATAACTTGTCAAGTTACGGTTTATAACCAGACAAGTTATGGACGAAAACAGTAATTTGACCTATTTATTAACTTATGTAAACTATTGACCTATTAATTTTAATTTATCTCAAGTCTTGACTTATTTCCCTCTTTCCCCCTTAATTGAATTACATGTGACTTTATGGTAGATTGTAGAAGCCCATGCTGTTATACATAGTCATAAAGTACAAAAGAAATTTAAGGGTTGTTTGGTACATGTATTCAAACTCAAACTATAATTCCGTTATAGTATTTTTCCTCTAAAAAGAATTTGAATAAAAAAAAAAAATTCCTACCAATAGTTATCTCACAAAAAATTTAAATCAAAACCCAAATCATGATTCAAATACACTTTCCAAATGGGTCCTTAATGAATGTTAGCCAAACTCAAGTCATGGTTTAACTTTATTGAGTTAAATAACATTGCTCTTTTCTAAACTCTTTAAATTCCAAGGTACGGGAATTACCCTCCCTTTCCTTTCTATTTTCCTCACCTAGGTTACATACCTTTCCGTCCCATTTTCTTTCCCTCTTACCAACGCAACCTAAACATTGAGAAGGGTAAATAAAGGTTCTCACAGCAATAAAAGGCCCACAATTTAATAGGCCAAATATGCAGCAGGAATTGCCAAACAAGACCCACACAGTTATAAAACTTGATGCTTCCATTGTCCTCTGCATAAAACATATACACTGGAAATAAATACGTGTGCTTTATATTCAACAGCCAAATATCACCAAGTGATTACTTTCGAAACAATGATCCACAGAGGAAAAAAAAAAGATTATTATTATTATTATTTTTTCCTGTTTCAAGGTAGGTTGATAATTCATATGACTAAACTTACCAAGCCTTTGACGTCAAGAACCTTACAACAGATAAGATAATAAACAAACGGTATACACTATAAAAAACTATATGAAGTCGCTCAAAGAGATAAGATTTCCAACTGTAATTGAAACAAAAAGAAAGAAATAGTGGGCATCAAAGAAGAAAATTGCTGTAAGTTCTGATGATCATGACGACTCTTAGGGTGCGTCTGTTTGCCCAACCCAACTCGAGTGAGCCCAACTTGAATGCAGACTATGGCTCAAGTTTGCCCGATCCAACTCGAGACTACGGCCCAAGTTCTCGTTCGTGAACCACACACTCGAATGAAGATTCCAGTATAACTCACTCACCAACCTGTTAAATTCACTTCACTCGAGTTAAACGCTACAGTAGAGATTCTCTCTAATGTGGCTAAATAGTCCTGATTCCTGCCATTACTGGCATTAATTATACCGTTGCAGCCGTTTTTTTTTCTTTCTTCCTTCTCCTAACTGTTGCCTGAACCATGCTGATAAGCCTTTACTCAGGCAAGTTTACATTAGGAAGAGTAAGAAGACTTAGGAGGAGTTAGAAGTTCGTTAAGCAAGATTGTTAGTTAGCTTGTTGAATAAGATTGTTGGTTAGTTTGTTATGAAGCTTGTTATGAAAGATTGTTAGTTAGCCTAGTTAGCTTGTTAAGAAAGTTTAGGAATGAGAATAAAAGGAGGAGGACACGGTTAGAGGTAGGAAAGGTTTCAGTAATTGTACAAGGGAAAATCTTGGAAACATTTTCAAGTAGGGGAGGCCACGGACCCTCGAAGTTCCGCAATTCGTTGTAACTTTCAGCAATTGTCTATACAGATTCTTCCTTCTTTTTGTCTATCAAATTCTGTTCTACTTTCTGTTAGTGTATCTCTCAAGGTTCTATCACATGCCAAGGGAAAGAATCACAAAGATCTGTACAGCTGATAGGAGTGACCCACACAACGCCTAACTTACTTAGCAATGAGCACCATAACTTAGAAATGTAATGTACGTACAATGAGAAAACAAGTGATCAACCGATTCACCGCTTGACTTGCACGGGGAGATTGAGAGAACTGGTTTTCTCCTCTGCATCAAATCGCGAGTATTCAATTTATCAAGAAAAAGTACCAATAACACTTAAACTTTGGAAGGAATCTGAGTTTTCCAAATTAAATCATAGAAATCAAAATTAGGAGCATTGGGTTCATCTGTAAGAGAAAGGAAAGGGGATTCAGCAGGGCAAAAAAAAAAAAAAAAAAAAAGTGTTATCTAAATTCCACTCTCCTGTCCTCAACGGCAGCCCAAAGTCAAAACCCCTCTGGAATCATGATCAACTCTGAACCCTCCCGAACCCTCCCTATCAGTTTTCTGGAAAGCTTTAAGTCCCAAGTGCAGACCACTCCCGAATCAGAGGATAAGTTTGAGAAAAAATGATTGATTGCTTTATTATGTAGGGCCGAAATGAATCTTTCTAAGAAAGGAATTTCTCCACACCAAAGATGGTGCAGAACCATTCGGGGAAGGAAAAAAAAAAAAAAAAAAACCAAAGTGCATTCTATACTGGCATAGTTTCAAAAGGTTTGATCAGAATTCCAGTTGAGCTTATAAATTTAATCCAATATGAGCTGGTGAAGTACCTGATGGGCAAAGGTTTTGTGATTTACTGAGTTGCTTCCAACCAGAACAGCCATAATGCTCAGATCCTGCGCTCTTCCCCAAAACCGAACAATAAACTCAAACTGCAGAACTCAAGGGAAACAATGTAAGATAATTGCTGTAGGAATAATGAACATCATTTTTAATGCAGGTGATCTCGAGAAATCCATGTTGAACTGTTCCCATTATAATACAGAAAATTTATCAGCTAAGGCCAAATTAGTTGTTGCAATTCAGTTTCAATAGGTCAAACTGTAAGGTAAAATCTCAGGATACTTAGGCTCCGTTCATTTCGCTGATTCGAGTTTTTCTACAGTAAAAAGCTCTCACAAACAATCACATCTAACTTTTTTGCTACAGTAAAAAGCTCTCACATAAAGTCACATCTCAACTCGAATTAAAAACTCGAATCAACGAACTAAACAAGCCCTAAATATTAATTAGCCACCTGCTAATTACTTTCTTGATCTTAGCATCGCCTGGAAATTAAAATTAAATTACATGGCATGTACTTATACTCTTAATCCTTAACAAGCAGTTAAAGTTAACATTTCAGATGTCAGTGACTAGGCCGGGAAACGTATTATTTATGATAACAATATTAACGTGTACTAAGTAATGTGATCACATTTATAATTTATATCTACTAGACCACTGCCACAATTTAACAATGCACACACTTATTTACCTAATTTGTACCATGCACATACTCTTGACACGTTATATTTGACTGTCATTTGAAAAAGATACAAAGTTACAAAGTTTTACTTAGTAAAAGAATTCTCTCAATGACTGTACATAGAATTATAGTTTCTCTAAAATTTAAGTACTATCCGCTGTTAACAGAAAATGTTTCTGATGTCAATAGAAGCTGGAACTCTTCTAAGCCTTCCTTTATGGCAATAAACAGAAGTAACGAAGTAACTGTTCTTTAACCCAAAAACAAAAAACAAAAGAAACAAAACAAAAAACAAAAACAAAAAAACACGAAATAACTATTCATCTTGGAAGATTAAAGCAAAGTTTTGATGAAATAAATGATACCTGAAGGAGGTAGAGAAGTGCAATCCACATAAAAGGGAGTGGACTTCCAACTTTGACAATAATATAATAGCCAGAGATTCTAAGGTTGCTTATTAGTCTTAGTCCACCTTTGGAAATAATTCCTTTGCTAAATAACTAGCCTTCTGCACCTCCCCTCTTGAGCAAAGTGAAGCAACTATTGAATAGTAACTGTTAAAATCACGAAACTGAGATCTTCTCTCTAAATGGTTAAGATCTTTTCCTATCATCTTTCCCTTTGTGTCAAATGATTGAAGCGGCAAATCACTTCCTTCGGGGTAGGTTAATGAGTCTGAGCTGACAGAACCAAATGATTCGTTGTCATGACGCTTTTGTAATATGTGTGATCCATTTAAATGAGGACTAAAAATCCGAGGAGGGAAATATATGGACGCAACTTCATTGAGTACGGTAACTGCTTCTTTGATACTTCCTTGCTCACATAGGCAAATGAGCAAACTTTCTAATGACTCTGCTTCTTCCTCGGTATCAACTTTGTTTATCAACTCCATAGCAGATTCCGATTGAAGCATTTCTCTTATGGCTGTCCTGGTTTCTTCCATCCTTCCTTTGGTATATAGACCTCTAATCAAATACATGAAGCCCAAGAAATCAGGTGAGATACCATTCCTCTTGAACTTAAAAAAATATTCAAGAGCCCCTTCCATGTCACCTTTATGGCAGCAACCATTAATTAGAGCGCTAACGGTGAATTCATCGGGTATAAGGCCTTTTACCTCTAAATCATGGACCAGCTTCAAAGCTTCATCCATTTGACCATTTCTCGAATAACCATCAATGAGCGAGTTATACACACAAATATCTGGTTTATAGCCCATGAAGAGCATCCTCTTGAACAGCTGAGTGGCATCCAGCAGAAATTGCTCTCTACATAAAGCACCAACCAATATAGCATATGTAACTTCAGATGGAATCAAATCAACTTTCTCTAAGGAATCAAATAGTCGAAATGCTTCAACTAGGCAGCCCTGCCGACACAACGCACTTATAACCATATTATAAGAGACAATGTTTAGAGCAATCCCCTTTCGTTTAGCAAAAGTTAAGAGATCCAACGCCTCACTGATATATCCTTCCTTGCAGAGGCCATGAGCCACATATGTATAATCATACACATCCATTACAGGTAGATTATCCTCAATCTCTACAACAAGTTTATATGCATCCAAAACTCTTCCATCTTTGACAAGCTGCTTAAAAAGAGTTCGAGGCAAAGTAACAGTTGCAGAATTAACATTCATTTTCTCTAAAAATAAACGGGCACTATTGACATCTTTCAGACATAGGTAAAAGGCTACAATCTTGCCAACCCTAGGTTCCGCCATACCATATTCTTTTATAAAGTTATTCAAAACAGCCAAACTTAACCACTTATTTCCACTAGTAACTAGCCCTTTTATAATTAAATAGTAAGACTTGCTTGTCAAAATTGATCCTTTCGCCTGCATCACCATTAACACTTCGAATGCAGCACTAGGATGGCGCCTCTTGCACAAAAAACTGATGGCCTTATTGCATAAAATATCGTACACTTCAGGCTTTGTATTATCCAATGTGAGAAGTAAATTCGAAATCCCAGGTGCCCCTTTTTCTTCCATAACCAATTTGATTAACATCATATAAACACCCAGATCCAAAGGAAAATCTTTCTCATTGAGTTCAATAAACACATCAATGGCCAGATCTGCCATACCCTTGTTGCAAAGCCCCCTGATAAGACAATCGTAGACGGCAACCGCAGAAATTGTTGTGCTCCTAAATTCATTAAATATCTCGAGTGCCTCATCAATTCTACCTACTTTACAATACCCATGAATCATAGTACAACATGTAACAGAGTCCGGGGACAAGTTCTTTTCTGGCATTCCCTTGTAAAGCATATATGCATCCTCAAATGCTCCGACCATAAATAGTGCTTTGATGAGTATGTTGCACATAACAACATCCATATGGACGCCAGCTTCTTCCAATCTCTTCTTAGTTTCCAAAATCCCAGTGATATTTTCTTCCTTACCATACCCATGTAATAACGTACTGTAAGTTATGGTATCTCCAATTACACCCTTGGAAACCTCCTCTGCCTCAGCCATCCTCCCAAACTTGCACAGTCCATTGATCACAATATTGTACGTGACAATGCTCGGACTAATCCCTCTCTTCTCCATTTCATCAAGAAGATCGAAAACGCAATCAAAATCGCCCTTCATGCAACAACCATCAATCAAAGTTGCATACATAAATTCGTCAACTTCAATCCCCAAATCTTCAACCATCTTCAAAACTTTGAACGCCTCGTCCAATTTCCCTTTTCTACAGAATCCCAACATGATGGCGGTAAATGTAACCAAATTAGGCCCCAGCCCACCATTCCTCATCTTCTCCAAAAACCCAACCGCCTTCTCTACATCTCCTAGTTTTGCAAACCCATCAACCAGTACAGTATAACTAACAATATCAGGACTTATTCCTTTTTTCACCATATGTCTATTCCTCTGAAACACCTCAGTCAATAACCCTTCTGAAATGTACCCACAAATCCAACTACTAAAGAAAACAGCATCACATTCCACTCCTTCCTTCTCCATCCTAAAAACCAAGTCATGAACCTCATTAACTCTACCCAACTTACAAAGAGCACCAACAAGTGCAGTGTAAGTCACTACATTAGGCTTCAAAGCCTCAGAACTCACGGCATTTTCAAAAAACCTCACTGCGAATTCTGGCCTCCCGATTTGACAAAAACCGGCCAATACCGAACTACAAACAAAATTGTCAAACGGGTATTGAACCTCAGACATCAATTCTAACACCTCAATTGCCCTACTCATATCTCCTTTAGAACTAAATCCATGAATTAACGAACATAACGTGAAAGAAGAAGGCAAAATAATACCTCGGATTTTCTGATACTCCTTTAGTACAATCAATGCCTTTTCTGGGTCCTTCTTATCGGTGCAAAATCCTCGGATTAGAGTATCCCACAAGCGAGTGTTCCAAAAATCTGAACTTTTTACCATGTGGGTCTTCATGAATTGCTCTGCCTCCTTGTACTTGCGCAAATTTAGGAGTGCCCACGTGAAAATTGAGTGTGTTTCGGAGTTGCCTGTGATTCCATTGGAGTTTGCCTGTGAGAATAAGTGGATGATGAGCTTGAACTTGCGTGCTTGAAAGAGGAAAGTGAGGAATTGGTTGAGGGGCTTAAGCGTGGGAGTGAAGCCTCTTTTGAGCAAAGTCTGAAGAGGTGGCGTTTTCGAGTACAACATGGTGATGGAGAAGAGCAAGATCAAGGACAAACAGTCCCTATTATAACGCCAAAATCTTCAAACATGGTTTGGGACGAAACATCAAATTTGTCAACTTATATCTGAATTTGGTTTTCCCCCGAGTCCCCTAAAAACAAAAATGCATATCAACAAACATATTAACATAAATAAAGTGAACTATTTTAGTATTATAATGAACAGATATAACATTCACTGAAACAAAAAATGATCATATTGTACATTCACAGCATACCTATATTCAACCTTATCACCACAGCTACTAAATTAAACCTGTAAATTTTCTTTCTAAATTCAACACTAAAATTAGACAACAAACGTTTACTCATAAGCTCAAAATTAGCGTTAGCATGAGATATAACATGCCTACTAGAAGTGACTAAAAAGAAAGCCTATTAGAAATATACACGTGATTTAAAAATCAAGCTCGATACTTTGCCACACTTCCAACACTCAGAAAATTCTACAATCATGGGGAATTCTAACTTTTTAACAAAGACGAAATAAATTGAACAAACTAAGTCAGAATTTTTATCGAACACATAGTAAGCACTACGCACCAACACAACAAGTCTCAATTCACACCAAGAACACGAAAGCAACAAAACCCAGATGAAAAAGAAAAAGAACAGACCTCCTGGAGAAAGTATCTGTCCAGCTTGTCGGTGATTCCGATGAAGGTCAAGACGGTGATGACAATGTGAGAGAGAGAGAGAGAGAGAGAGAGGAAGAATTGATTTTTTTTTCTTTTTCTGGAGTTATTTTAGTGTGATTTAAATGTTGTGATTTTGTTGTCTCTGTTTGAACTTTGAAGTGTTACATTTGAGTGTTCAACGGAGATTTTATCGTCGTCGTCGTTTTTTTTTTTTTTTTTTTTTGGAAAAGAAATACGCAGATGAAAGTGAGGAAAGAGGAAGAGAGAGGGAGTGTGAAGAAAGAGAGTTGTTTTTTTATTTAAATTTTTAAATCAATGTTTAATAATATTTCAGAATTTCTGTGAAAATTGTTGGTTTCTAAATAATTAATGTGGAAGGTACAAAATGATATTTCACGTCTAAAAAAAAAAAAGAAAAGTCACATAGTTTAAAAAAATGATTTTCATTTAAATAAAATTATAAAAAATACAGTGTACTAAAAACAGCTTATGCTAAAACATAAGGTATCACTATGATATCTTGTCTTTATATTTTTTCTTTCAAAATATGATACTTTTTCTTTATATTATATTAGTTGAACTCCACGTGCTATGCACATGGAAAGTAATTTATATGTAAAGTCTTAATTATTGTGTTATCGTTAAAAGCATATAACATCTAAATATAGAATCCTAAAAAAGAACAAAAATGAAAAAAAAAAAATAAAGGTTTAAGGCAAGAAGCCAAAGAAAGGGGATAAAAATGACTAAAATGAAGAAATAAATAAATTTTAAAGCAAAAGGGATCAAAATGAAAAAATGAAGTTGCAGGACAAAAATAAAAAAGATGTCAAAAAAGACCAAAATGAAAAAATAAATGAGTTTTATGGTAAAAAGAATCAAAACAAAAAAATAAAATAATATTTCAAGACAAAAATAAAAAAGAGGGTTAGAAAAGGAGTAAATGAAGAAATGAATAAGTTTTAGAGAAAAATAGACCAAACTACAAAAAGATGATATTTAAGGGCAAAAATAATAAAAAAAAGCGATTACAAAGACGAAAACGAAGAAATAAATAAGTTTTAGAGAAAAATGAACAAAAAATTGATTTAAACAAATAAAACTTGAGGACTAAATGAAAAAAAAGGTTTAAAAGGGCTAAAATGAATAAATAAATAAGTTTAGGGAAAAATGAAAATGAATAAAATTTGTCCAAAAATAAAAAAAAGGTGTAAAAAGGATCAAAATGAAGAAATAAATTAATTTTAGGGTAAAAAGAACCAAAATAAAAGCAAAATAAAATTTCAGAAAATTAAATAGGGTAAAAACGGACTTAAATCAAAAAATAAATAAGTTTTAAGACACCACCAAAAAAATAAATATCTAATTAATATAACATCTTAAAAAAATAAATAATAATCAACATAAATGAAAGAAAAAAAGTTAAAAAGAAGGGTAAGAATGAAATGTAATAAAGTTCTGGAGAAAAAAGTAAAAGGAAAAAGAAAAGATGGAAAGAAAAAAAAAACATAAAAAAACAAAAAAAACAAAAAAACAAAAGCCGAGAAAAAAACTCAACAAAAAACGAGCGTTTCATTTAACAGTACTTTTTCAAATTTTTATATATGTATAAATAGATATTAGTGGTTTTAATGACTACTCTAATATTTATTTATTAGTGAGCATTATTATTTTAATTGAGAGATATTGATCTAATGATTTTGAGTAGTTAATTAAAAAATGTATGCAATTAATGAGATACATTCTTATCACATAGTATTATTATATTTTTATATTTCATGAATAAACACGGATGAAAATGTAACAATTGAAAATTTATATGTATATAATTATAGCATTTTTTTTAGAAATATACGTTTTCATCAAAGTTAAGTGGGTCCTTTTTAATTCTCATCAACAGACATGCTTTCTTTGATTTTTGTTTCATTTAGAATCTCAAAGTATGTGGGTATAATTAATGTGTTGAAAAATATTACTTCTATTTATAGCTAATATATATGAAGGTGTTTTCTTAACGGGTTTTAGATTTATTGCTGAGAAAATTATAATAAAAATAAATTATAATTTGGTTGAGGCATTTCATGAATAATAGGGTCCAAATAAAATACATATTTTTTTAAAGGTATGCAAATAGAATTACTCATGCTAATATTTCTAGTGGAGAAAATTACAGATTTTATCTAAGACGTTCTATTTCATGACATATTTTTAAAAATTGCCCTAAACTTAATTAATTGAAGCTTCTAAAGCTACAACGACCATTTAAGCCCCAACTCAAACTTTTTATTTTTAAAAATTTTATATAATTAAAATGTGTATTATATTACAATTATATAAAATAACCCCGTTAAAATTTAATCTTATAGCTCTCATTTCCGAAAGCTCAACTCGAATTGTTTATAGCTCTCATTGATAAAAATTTTCTGACTCCGTCACTATCAAAGATTCTAAAGTTGAGAGGATATAACATATCACTGAGAATAATCAGAGTCACGTATATATATATATATGTATATTATACACTACACAATATGCTAATTAACTGTTATAAGAAATATGAACTAAACACAAATCCATTTTCCTTCCAACAGTCACGCCAAACACCTGAGTCATGTCTAGATCTTCCATCTTCTCATTAGCAGGAAGTTTCCGATCAAAATGGTAAAGCAACTGCACAAGAATCAGCTCAACAACCGCTACACCAAATGTCACGGCCGGGCATATTCTTCTTCCGACACCAAATGAAATGTACTCAAAATATGTCCCTTTATAATAAACTGAATTGTCAAAAAACCTTTCAGGACAAAACTTCTCGGTCTCGGCACCAAATAGAAAGTACTCAAAATAGGAACTTTAGCTCGTCAAGGTTTCTTTGATGACTGATTTTAGGAACTTTAGCTCGTCAAGGTTTCTTTGATGACTGATTTTAGGAACTTTAGCTCGTCAAGGTTTCTTTGATGACTGATTTTAGGAACTTTAGCTCGTCAAGGTTTCTTTGATGACTGATTTTAGGAACTTTAGCTCGTCAAGTTTTGTTTCGTCTACCTTTCCTTGCGCGCGAAAAACCCGTCTTTACCTCGGCTTGTGCCTTTTCCATGACCTTAGGGTTTTTGAGCATTTCGGAAATAGCCCATTCTAGAGTTGTTGATGATGTCTCACTTCCAACACTAATAATATCCTGCAAAGATGTAGGTATAGATTTTTTTTAGCATGTTAAGCAAAAACCCTTCTCCGTTTTTATGTTTTTGTTTTTGTTTTCTTTTTAAAGGTCAGATTTTATTTTTCCCTTGAGCTAATGCTGATAATATATATTGACTTGTACTCTTTTAATTTTACGTATGAATTATGAAGAAAATGCATCTAATATGTCCTTTTTTCTAATTTCTACCAAGGAAAGATATTTTATTACTAGAGAAATAACTTAATAGCATTGTCAAAACTGCCTTAAATATGTGCCTCCGTAAAAAGAAAAAAAAATCCATACAGGCTCATGTGTAAAATATTCGTAAACATTCGACAGTTTTCTTTCTTTCCCATCTAGAGAGAAAACACCCCATTCAAGAATCTGGTGATTTGATTGAGGAAGACAATAACTTGACGTGCCCGTTGTCTTAGAGATTTCTACTGAAAATTAAGGCTGCACCAATGGAGACAAGTATTTGTTCTAACCTATTTTCTTAGTAATTTGGTGTGATGATTCATGGAATGTGGAATAAGGATTTAAAGATCCAACAAGTGCTATTAGAGCGGTCATCACATTAAATTATTGAAAGAATTTTCATATCCAATATCTCCGGTTGAACATCATGTTTATTGATTCATATGATTTTTTTTGTCTATAAAATTTTAGATATGCTTTATTTTGTTAAGAAAAGCATATATATTGATAATCATATGAATTCTTAGTGATTGATTTTAATCAAAATTTGTTGAATAATTTCAAATTAATTGTTATTCACAAAATTGATTTTCTAGAAAATTAAGGATTAAGGAAATTTGGTAAAGGAATTTATTAATAAAGTTTTTTTTCGGTTGTTTTGGGGAAACTTTTTTTTCCTTCTTTATTCTTCTCTTCTTCGGATTGAAGATTGTGGCTGGTGGCAGCCTTGGCCACCGGTGTTGAGGAAACAAGGGTGCGGCCATTGGGCGGCACCGACAGGCTAGCCGCGGCGGGATGAGGAACAGCGGCGGCCAAGGCCGCCGTATAAGGAAAAGAAAAAAAAACTTCTTCATGACCGGCGGTCGCATCTGCCACCGCCGACACTATGGATGACTGGTCGCAGCCTTCTAGCCGCGCCGGTGACAGGATAGCCGCAGTACACCACCGCGGCTGCATGAAGTGGCGGCTTGGAGGCCGCCACATCTGGGAAGGGTCGCAATTGCAACCCTAGGGCAGCAACAGCTCTAGGCTTTGGCCCAGAGTTGTAAAAAAAAAAATCACGGGCCCATTTGGGGCCCGTGACAAAAGAAGCCTGCACAGGCCCTATTGGGCATGTGCTTCAGTGAAAGGCCGCATGTATAAACCTGCAACCATAAGGGAAGTTTTGGGTTTATTTTAAACCCAATTTTAGGTATTTGGGTAATTTTTAACGCATTAAGAAATTAAGTATAAATTAATTAAAGATTTAATTGAATAAAATAAAATTCTGATTCTTTGTTTTGTCTTGTTTAATCATTATTGCACTTAATTGTCTTGTATTTTAAAATAAATTAATTGAAATAATATTGTTGCCAAAATAACCTCTGTTGTAGATGTTAATTTATTTTAGAATATAAAGATGTGTATGCATGTTATTTATACGAATAATGATCGGCCCAAAGGAAGGTTATTATTTGGCCAAATAATTGGTATACTTGTGGTAATAAATATGTGACAATTATAAGGTTTTCCATGTGAACAATAGTCAGCCCAAAAGAATGATATTGTTGGACAAGATTTATTGTCAATATTTGATTACTGCGCGGACAGTACCACTTACAAGCTGATATTTCTGGTCCAAAGACTAAATATTAGTGTTGTACTAGGTATCTTGAAATGGATCCACCATCCTTCAGATTGTTTATTTATGTCATATTTGCATTTTTATTGTTTGATTATGCTTATGTATGACATGAATGTTGATTGTGAGTATGTTGTTCTATTTTGTTCTCTATTTAGTTTCTACTACTGCTGCTAATGATCCCAATGCTGAATGTGACGAATTTCAAGAT